CTTTTTGCTGTTCCCATTGGGTGATTTCCACTATCTTCTAGATATCCGATTCATTCTTCTGCATCACCTAATCTGCTATTGATTCCCTCTAATGTACTTTTTATTTTAGTTATTGTATTCAGCTCTCATTGGCCCCTATTTTATAGTTTCTGTTGAAATTCTGTTCATCCATTTTTCTTTGGAGTTCAGTGAGTATGTTTATGACTTAGACCCTTGTATCTGGTAGATTGCTTATCTCTTCTTTGTTTAGTTCTTTTTCTGAGGTTTTGTCTTGTTCTTTTGTTTAGAACATACTTTTCTGGCTCTTCGTTTTGCCTAAACTCTCTGTGTTTATATTAGTTAGATCACTTCTGTCTCCTGGTTGTGAAGGAATGAGTTTTTGCAGAAGGTGTCCTGTGAGGTCCAGTAGTGCAAACTCCCCGGTCACCTGAGCCAGGTGCCCTAGAGGTTCCTTGTGTGAGTGGTGTGTACCCTTCTCCTGTGGCTGGGTCTCTGTTGGTGCAGACTCAATGGTTTGCAGAGCTGTCCCCTGACACAGCTGTCTACAAGGCTCAGCCACAGCTTCTTCAGGTGTGCTGGTAAGTAGAGCTGCCCCCCATCCTGTCTGAGAGGCCCAGCTACTACTACTGTTGGGTGGGCTGGTGTGAGGGTTTGGCCCCAGCATAGCTGGCTACCAAGCCCAGCTGTTGCAGGTGCTCTAGCAGGCAGGGCAGGGACCTTTTGGTGGGGGTGGCTCTGGTGCAGACTGAGGCCACCTGCTGGTTGGGAGGGGGAGGGCAGGGAGCCACTTAAGAGGGGCTCCTGGCCAGTGCATGAGTTGCGCTGAGCAAGCTGGTGCTAGCACAGTAGATGGAGAATGTCAGAAATGGTGCCCACCAGCAGAGAATGTTCCAACAGATCCCTGCCCTGCCAGCACATGCCCTAAAATTAGTCTGTGGATCTCTTCCATGTGTAGCCCATTTTTCTAACTGCTGCCTCTGCACTGAACCTTCAGCAAGTGAGATTGTGCTGTACCCTTTAAAAGCAGAGTCTGGGGATGCCTGGGTGGCTGAGTCAGTTAAGCAACCGACTTCAGCTCAGGTCATGATCTCACAGTCCGTGGGTTCGAGCCCTGCGTCAGGCTCTGTGCTGACAGCTCAGAGCCTGGAGCCTGCTTCGGATTCTGTGTCTCCCTCTCTCTCTGCCCCTCCCCTGCTTACGCTCGTCTCTGTCTCAAAAATAAATAAACATTAAGGAAAAAAATTTTTGTTAAATAAAAAATAAAAGCAGAGTCTGTTTCCTATTGCACTCCAGCTCTCCCAGACATAAGCCTTGCTGGTTATCAAAACCAGATGTTGTACGGGGCTTGTCTTCCCAGTGCAGGTCCCCCAGTCCTGGGAACCTAATATGGGGCTTGGACCCCTCATTTCACAGGGAGAGCCTTTATGGTTATGAAGTCCCTCCCACTTGTGGTTCCGGACTAGACCATGTCTCTGCCTCCTATCCAGCTCAGAATGGCTTTTTCTTTATATCCTTAGTTGTATAAGATCTGTTCTGCTCTCTGAAGTTCTTTCTCAGAGACAGTTATATATGTAGTTACAGATTTTGGTATATCCTTGAGAGAATGTAAGCTCACGATCTTTCCTCCTCCTCCATTTTGACCTCTTGGGACCAAGGTCCTGTATTAGACACTTGAGACCTTGAAATCTATCCCATGGCTTTTGCGATCATCTTTCCTGATTTTCTTCCAGTCTTTCTGACCACATTTTACCATTTCCATTGCCCTTGCCCAGTTCTCGGTCTCCTCCTTCAGGGCTAGTATTCTTGGTTTCATCCTTAGCTTCCCTTCTCTTCCACTCCACATCAGCCATCATAACGTTGATAAAGCCTAAGCCCATATCCCCCCCAGCTACCACTACCACCACCACCACCCTCTTTTTTCAGCCCAGACCCTCTTGCTTGTCTACAGATAAAGTATTTGTTGGAATTATCAAGAAATAGGAAATATAAGAAAAGAAATAGGAGCTAAAGCAGTAGGCCACCAAATTACTTCCTACCTTAGGGATTTCTAAGATAGTGGTTTTCAAACTTTATTCCTGGGAGCCCCAGAGTTCTATAATGGTGCCTCTGAGGAAAGAAAAAGCCAGAGCTTGAACAGTTCTGTAGCCAGACTACCCCCTCATCCAGAGCAGCTCAATTTTATCTGTTACGTGTATTGGGGCTACACCTAAGAGTTGGGGGTGGGGGGTTCCATTGATAATAGAAGAGTTTGGAAACCACTGATCTAGAGAAGTATCTTCTGTCACCTTCCTTTTGTTCAAGGAAATAAACAGTATTCCTGGCCATTTGCTTACAGAAGTTAATGCTAGACATTGTGATATCAAAGCAGAAGACTAAGCCTTGAAGGAACTAAGTCATCCCTGCCCTTTGTTTTGGGCTCCTCCAGCAAGAGTCGCAGTGTTGAAAAGACTGGAATAAGAAAGAGTCTTTCAGTGAGGACCTAAAGACCTTCAGCCTTCTAGCTGCAGAACTGCTTTAATTTCACTTCAGTCCTAGTGTATGTTTTCCAGGTACAGTCCTTGCCCGATGCCTGGTGTTTCCTCTCATCGTGAAGGGCCAACGAGAAGCAGCCAAGATCCACAACCACTTGCCAGAGATCCAGAAGTTTTCCACTCGAATCAGAGAGGCCAAGTTGGCAGGAGACCATGCTGAGTGTGAGTCAACTGCAGAATGCACGTAGGAGCAGACCACATTTGCACTTTGCTGACATTCTGCTGAGGGAAGGGAATGACCAAAATCGGGAGTTACTAGAGGTGGGCAAGTTGTAAAGATGTACCTGCTCCTTGGGCCTAATGTTTGCAGTGACTAGCAAGGGTCAGGTAGAAATTTCATGGGCCAGATAGTAAGGATAGTGACCTCCACTGATGTAACTGTTAGCCCAACCATTAATTTCCCCTTGTTCACAGTTTACAAGGCCTCCTCGGAAATGACATTTTACCAGAAAAAGCATGATATTAAACTCTTTAGACCTCTTATTCTACCTCTGACTCAGGTAAGCAAAAACATTTTCCTTCTGATTTTATCCCATACCAGTCAGATAGCCTCCTCTGTGTTTCCCATGCCTTAGACCCCGAAAAAGCAGTGGTGGTGATACAGTTTTCAGTAATGGAGTAATAGAATGTCTCCTTTGCTAAAGGGTCCTGACACTGTTTATCCTTTGTACTAGGCCCCAATCTTCATCTCCTTCTTCATTGCCTTGAGAGAAATGGCCAACCTTCCTGTGCCCAGCCTGCAGACAGGTGGCCTCCTATGGTTCCAGGATCTCACACTGTCTGACCCCACCTACATATTACCACTGGTAGTAACTGCTACAATGTGGGGTGTCCTTGAGGTAAGCCCAGGCTGGCCAAGTGCCAGGTCTGCAAAGTGGGGAGTAGGGGTAAAGTAGTTATGCAGAATGGTCATTCTTTGCCCCTTGGAGAAGTAGAATTGATGGGTTGAAATCTGTGCCAGATTCTTTAAAATTGATGTGCATTTGCTCCTTTTTTATTTTTTTTGGCAGTTAGGCGCTGAGACTGGCGTACAAAGTTCTGATCTTCAGTGGATGAGAAATATAATCAGAGTGATGCCCCTAGCAGTCTTGCCCATAACTATCCATTTCCCCACGGTAGGTAATGGCTTAGGAACTGGCTCCAAGCCCTTCCACCTAGCCTTGCCATCTCCCATCGAGCTAGTAACAGATGACAGTTTCTGAGTATTGTCTCTTTCTTTTCATCCAGGCTGTGTTCATGTATTGGCTCTCCTCCAATGTGTTTTCCCTGGGCCAGGTGTCTTGCCTCCGGATTCCAGCCGTACGGACTATACTTAAAATCCCCCAGCGTGTGGTGCATGACTCTGACAAATTACTTCCACAGGAAGGCTTCTTCAAAAGCTTCAAAAAGGGTAAGGGTGTGCCCTCAGTATAACAGGATTGGGGGAAAGTAGTCAAAAAATGGGTAGAGGCCCAACTGCCTTCCTCTTTACACAGGGTGGAAGAACGCTGAACTGGCTCATCAGCTACAAGAGCGCGAACGACGCATGCAGAATCACTTAGAGCTAGCAGCCAGGGGTAAATAGCCCTTTCAGGCTAAATTCTGTGATTTGTTTCTTCCTTTCCTTTGTTCATTGAGATTTGTTTTCTTTTGCCCTAGGTCCCTTACAACAGACCTTCACCCACAACCCTCTGCTACAGCCTGGAAAGAATCAGCCTCCCAGCACCCCAAGTAGCAGCAGTGCCAACCCAAAGTCAAAGCAGCCCTGGCGTGACACACTCAGCTGAATTCCATCTCTGCTCACACTGGTAGGAACTCTCTCTTCAAAGGCTCAGCCTCAGAACAAGATTTGACGCGGAGTCATTGCCCCAGGCCTTAGAAACTCTGAGGCGTTGTACAGATCTTCATTGTAAAAGTGGATTCCACTACAGACTCTTACCCCTAAGTGTAAAAGAGCCGAGTGATCTTGCCATCCACAGAATTAGTAAACCTCTGTACTCCATGCTGCTTTCTGACACTTATTAAACAGGGAAATGAACTGAAGGATAGATTGATTGGTAATTGCTCCTGCCCATGCTCTTAGGAAGTGCCTCAGTGTTGTCAACTGGCATTATGATCTTAAACTCCTACCTCATACATGGATTTTTCCATCCATTTATTTATCTTGGATCCTATAAAATATTCAAGTAGATGTGCTCAATTTCTTAGTGATCAGTACGAAGGACAGGAGTTGATATCTAACAACCTAAAATTTTGCTAGAGCAACTTAGGTGTGCTCTCTCGCATAGAGACTGGTTTCATCAGCCTCCAACAGCTGACTTGAGAGACAAGCAGAAGACTGGGACAGTTTTCATTAGGCTAGGAGGAACACTAAAAGCAGACACCTATCTAAAATGAAGCCACTCAAAGTTTAGAACATAACGTTTATTGTCTAGCACCTGTGACAGTTTCATGTCTCTCTCTCTAAAGGAGACAGGAAGTTTGGAGCATTATTGGCCCTTTTAAAGGAAAGGAGTGGGTAGGCACAGCCAGAAGTGAGTGAACATCTTGACACACGGGAATATGCTACTAGTACAACCAAGCCCACACCTGACATGCTCCCCACCACAGTCTGCTATATTCTCTTTTTTTAAAAAAATCTGGAACAGTGTGTAGCAAAACAAATAAATTACTTTTCATCTCTCAAAAAGCAAGTTCAAAAATTGGAGGCACCTGTCCAGAAGCTTGGTCTGAGCAGCTTCAACAAAGAAGTGTACTTTCCTTTTCTCTTCCTTGGCTCCAGCCAGCAAGAGACAAGAGGCCCCCGCTTTCCGCATCTTAGAATTCTAGATGGTGTTTAGTTAGACTTGGGATCTCGTTGCTTGGGTGTCTCTCTTCCATCTTCCAAATCCATCTCTGCAGCAACTGACATACATAGGACCTGGAGGTACCATGTAGTGGATGCTACAAAGAGAAGTGCGAGTCAAAAGTGAGAAGAGGTCAACTGAGCTCAATTCAAGTGGCACTGAACAGGGCTGGCCTGGAGGACAATTCATTTAAGCCTTAGTGTTAACAGCAAGAGCCAACGGCAAAGGTGACTTAGGGGGACGAGATTTGTGGAAAGGCCGTACGCAGTAAGCTAAGCCAACTCGAAGATCCAGAGGCTTGGGGTGGTGGGGAGGGGTGGCTGGATGGCCCAGCTGGTTAAGCATCCAATTTCATGATTTAGGCTCTGGTCTTGATTTCAGAGTTGGGAGTTCAAGCCCCCACGTTGGACTCCACACTGGGTGTGGAGCCTACTTTAAAAAAAGACCCAAAGGCTTACCCACAATCCTTCGGAGGCAGTGAGGTCGCTTGTGTTCTGGCACTCTGATGATGAGGAAGTAAAAGGGCAAGCCCGAGAGAGCAATGCCAATGCCGATGAGGGAGTTGATGGTATCACTGTAAAGCGGTACGGCCACCAGGAAGATGGTGCAGAGGCAGAAGACAATGGGAAAGAAAAGACTGAGCTGAAGGGCACAAGACAAAACAATGGACGTTAGACAGCTACAGTAGCAGTTTCTCCTGTGAAGATTACAGCACTGAGCCCTTCCATCCCCTTCATCTCCACCCACTACCACCACCAAATCCTAGGCAGAGGGTTCTGTCTTGAAAGAATCCCCTGGAGAAAAGGTAAGATGGAGGTGAATTACCTTGAGGGGACGAGGCCGATTAGGCTCCTTCCAGCGCAGATAAAGCTGACCAACAATAGAGAGCCCCACGAAGAACCAGTAGCTGAAGCTGTAGTAGTTAATGAGCTGAAAGATGTCCTCCACACACAAGTAGATCAGTGCCATGATACCCTGCAGGCACAAGCAGAAGTCAGCTCCTCCTCACAGCATTTGTCACTCAAGGGGTTTTTTTAATGCCCTTTTTTTTAATCCCTACGTCCAGTGTGGGACTTGAACTCACAACCCCGAGATCAAGAGTTGCATGCTTCACTACCTGTGCCAGCCACATGCCCCCCCCCCCCCGCCTATACAGTTTCTCTTAACCTAAAGTCCATCTCCACCTTTTGCTACCTAACATAAAAATCCACTTCAGATGCACTTTGTCCAAGAAGTCTTTCCTCATGCACCTTCTGCCCCCATGGAAGATCATTTCTTCCTTTAAACACTACAGCACTTACTAATCTTGGCAGTCATTTCATCTCAATATATTCAGCATGCTTTATGCCTTATCCTAGACCAGAGGAGGTTACCATTTTTTATGGAAGGCAGTTTTTCTGTTAGACTCTAGAGCTTTGAGGAAGCCAGAACAGTTGTGTGTACTGTTACCATTTCCCCCATAGTCTGGCTTTCAGCCCCATTTGAGGTCACTTACATTGAAGAGCAGAGCAGGTACCGGTGTGAACCGCTCAACATGAATCATGCAGATGGCATCCGGGAGATGGCCTTCTCTTGAGCCCACAAAGAAAAGCCTATTTGGGGTAAGATGAAAGAGGCTGAGAAACTTGTGGGACACTGGGTATGGCTGGTTCGCATACCACATAGCCCTTCTTCTGCCATCCCCTCCTTCAAAAGAGTTTGAATAATATGGAATGGAGTTCAGTTCTAGAGATTAGTGAGAACTGGAGGCTGCTGATGGAAACAAGAACAAAGGGGTTAATATCATTATCACTTGGGGAGCAGTGACTACACTCCGGGTCCTATAAGTCCTACTCTTCCCTGCCATAGCTCTTCACGATACCCGCCCCCCACACCCTGTAAAAGACACCACTCTTACCTAGAAGCAGCCACAATGGAGGCATTGAGGCCACCAAAGCAGGATAATGCAACCGCCAATGGAATTGTCCAATTGAAAATTCCAAAAATCTGGTCTGCAAAAGTCTAAGGGAAAGGAACAGAGAAGTGTCATTAGCAGGACCTAAACAGGATGAAAGGCATGGACAAGCGTGCCCCAGATAGCCCCTACCTTGTTTAACTCTTCATTCACAACCAGGGTGACAGGACTTTGTAAGCCCAGTATGGTAAGCATACTTTTTTTTTTTTTTTTTTTTTTTAAGATTTAATTTTAAGTAGGTAGGGGCGCCTGGGTGGCTCAGTCGGTTAAACATCCGACTTCGGCACATGTCATGATCTCACGGTTTGTGAGTTTGAGCCCTGCATTGGGCTCTTTGCTGACAGCTCGGAGCCTGGAGCCTGCTTCAGATTCTGTGTCTCCCTCTCTCTGGCCCTCCTCCACTCGTACTCTATCTCAAAAAAAAAAAAGATTTAATTTTAAGTAATCCCTATACCTCCTATGGGGCTCATAACCCATAACCCTGAGATCATTAGTCACACACTCCGTCAACTGAGCCAGGCGCCCCTAAGCATATTCCTTTCAAGGACCACCCACTTTCCCACAAGTACACCCTCAGCCTTCTGCTAGTGAAAATCCTTTACCACAGCAACAGCATCACTGGCCAGGATGTCCCTCATGTCTAGCACAGTGTAATAAGCCACATTGGTCAAGATGTAGATGATGGTGACAATGGGCATGGAAATGCCAATGGAGAGAGGTAGGTTCCTATGACCAAATAGAATAATGCATGCATTAGTCCCACGGTCACATCCCCATCTTTATTCCTTACACTCCCACACCAATCCAGGGGTGGTGCCTCCTGTGCATTGCCCCACTGCTTTTGCCTTTGAAGTTACCTACAATCGTGACTTCATTCTTCAGAGTTCAGAGCTTAAAGGGCATCAAGGGAAAAGAATATCACATTTAGAGAAAAGGCTGAGCAGAAAAAGGAATAACAGAACTATGTCACAGAATAATAGCACAGGAAACAGGGGCTTTTTGGTTTTCACATCCAAAGCCTCTTGACGTCAGGATTCCCTCTCAAGATTGTCAACGTTGGGAAATTGGTATTAAAGTGGAGAAATCTAAGAGGAAATTATGGAGGCAAATTGTGAAATCTAACATCTCCAGAGAATAAGACTCTTGTTGGGAAGAACACTATGTATCTACATAAGCAAGCTGGGAACTATGTCCATGCCCTTACTCAACTTGAGAAGCTTATGTGCCATCCTAACCAGTGGCCAAGAGAAAGACACAAGGACAAGGTCCTCTGGACCAATAAAGCAATGACCTTTATAAGCATTCTTCACAGTGAGGGGGAGGGGGGATATTCTCAAGTCATTCAGCTTCTGTCCAGTAGGTGGAAGCACCACCCAGGCTCAGTCCTGCTTCTGTTATCTGCTCCCGGAATTGCAACACTGGATGTGTGCCAAGAAAAGTTTATTATTTTTGATTTAAAAATTTACAGAAACTCCATTCCCTCATACTCTTAGTTCCAAGAATAATTGAATTTTTGATCCAGGAAGGGCTCTGGAGATCATATAATTCAACCCCCTCAATTTATACATAAGGAAGCAGGCAGAGTTGGCAGGGGACTCCCTCAAGGTCATCAACAAATCAGTGGAAAGACAGGCTCCAGGCTCTTTGACTCCCTGCCCAGTGCTCTTGTCACTGCATGACTACAGACTACTTTAGAATAAAAATGAAGCAATAGCATTCAATGCTGACATGATACCACTATGTCAGTATAAATTTGAGAAAGCAAAGGATCAAAAAAGAAATAGGACCATTTGGGGGCATTTGGGACCTAAAGTTATCTATGTAAGGATAAAGGTGGAGGAGTATCAAGGAAAAGCCATATGAAAGCATGGATGAACACACGGTAGAACCTGCTTTAATTAATGTAGGAATGAATGAGCAGATGTGAAAAGGCCTGCTGTTACGGACTAGGTATTTGGGCTTTAGACCTCCCATCTATTAAAGTGGAACCAATAAAATCAGTCTCAGTGGTTGTGGTATGCTGTCGGGCACAACTCAATAAATGATAGCATATCCTTACTGCTGTGGAAAATTGATGGTGAGATACCTACCTCTCGGGATTCTTGATCTCTTCAGTAACATAGTTGAGGGTGTCCCAGCCTGAGTAGGAGAACAGAGCCGAATACAATGCCAGGGCAATGTCCCCCACTGCAAATGATGAACCCTCAAAAGAATTCTCAAAGTGAGTGGAGGCTCCTGGAATCCAGAGAACATGGAAAGACAAAAGGATTAGTGGTTCGCCCTCAACTTTAAGGTGATCCAATAAAGGAATAAAAGAATAGGACAGTAATAGCTAGTGAGTGGCTTAGAACACGGTTGGCAGCAAGGGCAGTGGTAAAAGAACAGGGACAGAAGAGAGACCTCTACAATGATGGGCTGGAATGCAGGGAACAAACAGCATGGGGAACTTGACAGGAAGGACCATGGTGGTTTTCTAGGGTAAGAAACCATGACAGAACTGAAGGGCTATAGAACATAAGTAATGTGGTTCTGTCCTATCCTGTAAGCTACCCGATCCCACCCCTTTTCTAACCCCACAGACAGCTGGTACAGAATGGAGGAAGGATAGGGCTTAGAAGGCCCAGGTCAATAGAGTAGTAGACTATGTGTTCCTACCTGGAAACTGGAGAGGAGTGGGTACAAGGGTTTCATTTCTGCCCTTACCCACTTCCACGGGCAGAACAATCACAGCCACAGCATTGGACTTAGTCTGCAACAGCTGGCAAGACCAGCTTTGGGGTCATCTCAGTACAAATCTCCACTAACTTACTAGCTAGGGACTCAGGCAAGATACTTAATTCTGCAGCCTCAGTTTCCCCCATCTATCAAATGGAACTAGTAGGGGCGCCTGGGTGGCTCAGTCGGTTGAGCGTCTGACTTCAGCTCAGGTCATGATCTCACACTCCATGAGCTCGAGCCCCGCGTCAGGCTCTGTGCTGACAGCTTGGAGCCTGGAGCCTGCTTCAGATTCTGTGTCTCCCTCTCTTTCTCTGCCTCTGCTCATGCTCTGTCTCTCTCTGTCTCAAAAATAAATAAAAACATTGAAAATAAAATAAATAAAAAATAAATAAATAAAATGGAACTAGTAGTACCTAGCAAATGAGAATGCACAAAAGGCAATTAAAGAAGTGTGGCTCAAAGAACTGCACAAAACTTAGTCACTATTATGTCTTACCCTGGCCAAGTCTAACGATGCCTGCAATGATGACGGCGATCAATGCCAAGACTTTAGCATAGGTGAAGATATCTTGTACCAGTGTTCCCCACTTGACATAGGCACAGTTAATGAAGGTTAAGAGACCTGAAAAAATAATAACAATATTGATTGGGGACTGTCCCTACCACCCAGAGAGCCTTAGACTTTCAAGCAATATTTCCAGTAGCAGTCATCAAAACAGAGCCTTTGGCCAAAGAAGTGTTTGGGTTCTGACCTGCTGTGTATTCGACACCTCTGCCCAGAATGTCCTCACCATTAGCATTCAAAGGCACCTGCTGAGCATCTGTGTAGGCAGCACCACGCACACCCTTAGCACTTACACTAAGAGAGGAAAAACAAAGTAACTGGATTTGCTTACATACAAAAGTGCTCACAGCAGTGGGAGGCAACTGGTAGCTGTACAGGATTAGTGATGTTTTTCCGCTACTGGCTCCGAAAAGTCATGGTCTGTCCCAGCTTTCCACCCCTTTACCTCCTGATACGGGCTCCAGGACTCAGCGCTCTGGTATTGTTAACCTTGGTAGATCCTGTTGTGACTTATCCAATGCCTGGCCCAGCAGGTCAGAACATGTGGCCAGGGATTAGAATGGGGGCCAGACTTCCTGCTGCTGCCTGCCAGCTCAGCCACTTGTTTTTGTGCTTGGAAAGATTCTTGGAGCTGAGGTTCCTATAGAGTGGGGACAGCATTTTTCCTGACTGGACATTGCAAAAGAGTGAGCCACACAGGTCATGATCTCACAGTTCATGGGATCAAACCCCACATCGGGCTCTACTCTACTCTGACAGCACAGAAACCTGCTTGGGATTCTCTCTCTCTCTCTCTCTCTCTCTCTCTCTCAAAAATAAACAGGGGCACCTGGGTGGATCTGTTGGATGAGCATCTGACTCTTGATTTCAGCTTAGGTTATCTGATCCCAAGGTCATGGGATCAAGCCCCATTTCAGACTCTACTGTGCATGGAGCCTGCTACTTAAGATTCCCTGTCTCTTTCTCCCTCTGCCCCTCTCCCTCACTTGCACTCTCAAAATGTAAATAAACATTCAAAAAAAAAAAAAAAAAAACCCACAAACATTCCTCAAGTCCTTCTACCTCGGGGGGTAGAGGCAATCCCTTTACCTGGATGAGCTTTGGAAAAGTCCATGGATCACCCCTAGAGAGTTCTTAACCTACAGCTTCCACAATGCTTGAAATTCCTTGTAAATGGTTATGTATGTACACCAAAAATATATGCATTTTTCTAAGAAAAGCGTCCTTAGCTTTATGTCAGAATTTCAGAGAAATCTGTTACCCCCAAAAAAGTTTCAGTTTACTACTTCAGAAGATGACATTCAAGAAGGGAAGCCCACACATGCTGTGAAGTTGACCGATAGCCCCAGGATGTGACAGGGAAGAAAGTCAAAAGAAATGATTCTGAAACTCAGCTGAATGTTCTCAATCCCCCACCAGCCTCTTAAGTAGGCAGGCAGGCACTTGCAGCACGCCTTCCCCACCCTGGCAGAGAATCACCTTGCTGCTTCTGCCTTCCCAGCTCAGCAACTGGAGCACCAGGAGGGGCTTAACAGTTCCTTCCAAGAGATCCCAGGGTAAGATCAGAATCAGCCTGCCTTAAACTGCAGAAAGTGAGGTCCAGTGCTGGGCTTGCCTGCTTCAGGCTACCGACACGGAAGAAATACTCCCTGTCTCAGCTCTGGTGGTGGCATGTCCCTCAATGTCCCTAATCCCCCTGTTTTCTTGTGTCCTGGCCTCACCACACTGCCCCAGAAGCATCTTCATCCTGAGAAGCAGGAAAGACCAACCTCAAAGAACAGCTCATCTTCTGTCTCTCTCTCCCCCATCCCCCCCTCCTTTATACCCCTATTCTCGCTGCCCAAGTTCTTTTCTGCTCTTCAGTAGAAGGGGCATTCTAGTCCTATACAAACACTTGCCTTTCTGCCTAATAAACAAGACAATAAACAACCAAAGCTTATCACAGGGTTGGGCAAAAATACACCGGTAACTCCTCAGTGCTCGGTTAATAATTAGACATGCATACTGGCTCCCAAGCACCCTACAAAATGACCAAAGTGCCTTTATCTCACCCTCCACAAATCTCTGAGCTCTGTTGATCCTCCCCAGTCAATTACCCATCCTTCACTCCCCACTGGGCTTCAGTTTCCAGCCATTCAACAGCCCTCACGCCCCTTCTGTTCACCCTGTGACCCCTACACCTTACCCTCAGGCTCTGCTGCTGCTTCACAAATAACACAGCAGCCAGATTTCTGAGTAGAAACGCCCGGCCCCGAGACCAAAAAAGGGCAGAAGTGGGGGAAGGGGAGCACCTGGCCGGCTACCAGTTGGTAGAGCATATGACTCTAGATCTTGGGGTCATGAGTTCGAGTCCCAAGGTGGGTGCAGAGTTTACTTAAAAAAGTAAAAATAAGGGGCGCCTGGGTGGCTCAGTCGGTTAAGTGTCCGACTTCGGCTCAGGTCATGATCTCACGGTCCGTGAGTTCGAGCCCCACGTCGGGCACTGTGCTGACAGCTCAGAGCCTGGAGCCTGCTTCAGATTCTGTGTCTCCCTCTCTCTCTGACCCTCCCCCACTCACACTCTGTCTCTGTCTGTCTCAAAAATAAATAAACATTAAAAAAAAGTTTTTAATTAAAAAAAAAGTAAAAATTAAATAAAATAAAATATAAAAAGAAAGGCCAGGGACAACAGATGCTACAATATTCACAAGGGAATGGGATCACAGAAACTGATAGTTAGCCCTCAGGGTAACCACAGTCACACCACCAACCCGGCCTAGCTTCAGGGATTAATTCAGGTTCAGAGTCTGTCTGCAGCCTTGTGCCACAGCATCTGTTCTCAGCTCTGTCCAGGCATGTGGGCAGGGAAAAGACAACTCCTCATCCTTTACCACAACAAATTCTGAAATGAAAATACATGGATTGTTTGCATTTTAATCCCTACTGCTTCTCTACTTGCATTCCATATCCATCCATTTGCATCCCTCCTTTTACCCACCAGTTTTTCTCCCTCCCCCCACACCTGAGCCCTCTTTCTCAGCCACCGACCCACCATCTTGCCCTGATCTACTGCGTCCTGAGCACTGGGACGCGGTTTGAATGAAGAAGGGAATCCTATGGAAGGAAACGGAGCAGGGAACTGCCTGAGGAGAGCTGGCCCTCACCTTCCCCAGAGCCCAGCTTCCTCCAGGGCCTCTTGGCCATGCGAGCAGGAAATGGGTATGGCAGGCAGCACTGCTGACTGGGCTGTTTGTCCTCGCCCACAGCGGATACAGCTGACCGGAGACCCCAAAGCCCAGCCTAGTGCACTGTTCTTAAAGTGGAGCCCAACCTCCTGCTTCAGAGGCAGGAAAAGGAGGGGACCACAGGCTTATAGTAATATGGAGGCAACTGCAAGCCAACCTCAAGGACAGAAATGCCCTACCCTCCTACCTCTAGGTGTAATTCCATCTCCACCCAACACTGGGCCAAGTCCACAAGAAGATAGCTGGAAATCACCTTGGACCCATGACTCAGGTGCAGCTCCTTTCCTGCTTTGACCTGCTCTGGAGGAAGGAGAAGCCACTCCTATCATCATCTAAAGAGATGCGCCTGAACGGTCGGTCGGTCATCAAACCCAACTGCATGGACTCTCCTGGAGCAGAAGGCTAGTTCTAGCACTAAGGCCCAGCGTCAGCTGTAGAACTAAAAGCCAGGAAAGCACCCACATAGGTTGATACAGAACAACAAAGCTTGTAGGCCCAACTCAGATCAGATGCCCAGATTTACTTTAGATGCCCACACTAAACAGTCCCTGAAAAAAGAACATTAAACCCACAATTCTCCCAGCACCGTTAGTTTTAAACACATAGAATGTAACACATGCAACTCTGGCCACTATTCAGTGTATTTTCTGCTTCAAATTCCCAGAGACTATAAAACCTCAATACTTTATTTATTAGACAACTCATTCCATTTTTAAAGAGATCAATAGCTCTTCCCTCCACTAAGCCAAAAACTTCTTCCTCATAACTTCTACCCAGTAGTCCTAGACCTCTCCTCTGGAACTACACAGAATCCAGATAAATGGCCTCATTTACATAATGGCCCTTCTTATCAAACATTAACACCCTGTCCCTTTTGATACTTCCCCCCATTGAAGCTAAAAACCCAGTTTCTTCAACCTCTTGTGTGACAAATGTCACTTCCAGATCACTCACTCACCATCGAGTTCCCTCCTCTCCATTTACTTCACTTTGTCAGTATGTCCCTGGAAACATGAGACCACACAGAACACTCCAGACATTTTTGCAGACTATGGGATTTCAGTTTGAATTCACTGTCAACTACAACTCCACCTCAGACTAATGAGCTTTTCCCTATCCCCCTTTCAGGGCCTAAAAAAGGGATTTTTTTTTTTTTTTTTTTTTTTTTTTTTTTTTTTTTTTTAATCCTAAATAGGAGACCTTAACAAGTTCCTTACAGAGGAAAGTTCCTTACAGAGGAACTTTCCTCTGTAAATTTTTAGGTATCATTCCCATCTACTAGAAATGCATTTTCCCTCCTAATTTTATTAAGTAGTTCAAATGCCTTCAATTTGTGAAATCTGTAAATTTGATTAGCATACCTTCTGGGTCCTCCCTGAAGTCTTGATGAAAATGTTGACTAGACAGGCAGAGCCCTGTAGTCAGTCTATCATTAGAGACCTTCCTGTATGCTGTCATTATTCTACAACATCAACCAAGAATCCACCAAAGTATTCTTTTATCTAGTCCACCTTTTTCTACCTTGTCAACAAGAATATTGTGAGAATTTGCCAAGAACTTCTCTGAAATCTGTATAAACGTGTCTCTGCCCTTGCAATCTAATGACACAATCAAATGATTCAATGAAATTAGCACGCATTTATAGAATTTTCATAGCTATACCACGTAATAGTCAAAAATTAGAAATAACCTGGGGCTCCTGGCTGGCTCAGTCAGTAGAGTATGCAACTCTTTTTTTTCTTTCTTTCTTTTTTTTTTTTTTTTTTT